GGTGTGCTCGAAAACCCGCCGTACTCGATGTGCTCGAAATCCCTCTGTACGGAACGATCAGGTCCAAGGTTCGAACTCTGTCGCCCGTCCGACCAGATTTACAGGTTTCCAAATATGCTTGAAGCATCCTCGACCAAATTCGCAGATATGCCCGATAAATGCTCGAAGATTGCTTGAACATCCGTACAGCGCGAAGATTGCTCGAAAATCCACCGTACTGCTCGATCAAAACACAAGAAGGTAGATCAATTCGAGGTTCCTCGGCCGCACGGTTTTTTCGCCGGAATATTCTCAAAGATTGCTCGGAGTTTCGTCGCGAATCGACCAGGTTCAAGGTTCGAGGTCCATCTCTCATCTGAGCAGATTTGCAGATACGCTTGTAATTCTGTCGTGTTCGTCGGTCTGCTCGAAGATTAAAGTCCACAGCCCGATCTGCTCGGAAATCCCACTCTCTATTGTGGCCCAACGCCCTCCAGCCCGCGAAAAGATTAAAGTCCATAGCCCGACATTGTGGACGGCCCAAGAGCAGCGCGAGCGGCCCATTGCTCCAGAAGCCCATCGCGTAGAGGAGGAAAATCTCGCGGGCCGCGTCCAGCCCACGCGGCCCGCACCCTTAGCAGCCTGCAGCCCGAAGAAGCCCGCGCGCAACCCGCTTCCTCCAGCTTCCTCAGCACGCGACCGCCCCAACACCCCCAGCAGGCCCAACGAACGGCCCAAATGGCTCCAAACCGGCCCACCACACTCCCCACCACCTTTAGCCGAGCCCAAACTGGTCCAGAGAGCCCAAAAACTGCCCACATTGATCCAACAACCCTATTTTATGCTCAAGACTAACCCGGGATGATTGGAAGCGGACGGTAAAGTTATTTGTGACTTATTTTAATTATGACCTCAAAGGTTTTTTAGCTCGTTGAACGCGGCAAAATTACTTGATTTATTTGCGGAGGATTATTTCATTCGCTCGCGATGAATTATATGACTTGCTCAAGGACATGGGTTATATTTATATAATTGGATATCTTTATGCGCTTGGACCATTTATTTGGATTTTCGTGTGGAAATGTGGAATTATGTCAAATTGATTATTCATAATCTTTACACATGTCATTGCTCGAATATGTTTTAAGTCGAGGAGATGGTGATATTTATATTTGATCTCTTGCTTTTCTTGCGTGGAGCATTGCAAAACGGATAACTTAAATATAATGTGGATGATGAAATCTCTCTGAATTCTTGTCGAGGAAAAAATGAAATAACCCGACTTTGGACGAGCTATGGAGGACGAGTTGTCGAGTGTCGAGAAGAAAATGAATGAGCATAGATCCATAAAAGGCGGGTGACAATGACGGACGAGCATGGATGATGTCGATCACCGGTAGCAATCTCAAAGACACAATCCATTATCTTTTGGAGAGGTATGACAATGTAGAGTGGTATTCTCGACTGTCAGGTACAAAATTATTCTCAACTCTTGATTCGGTGGGCGAGTTCGATCGACACACAATTTACGGACACGTTGAGGCTCTCAACATTATTTTTTGGAGAAATGTTAATTATTTAAAATATTTTGGGCAAAATTGATGGCATGGTGAGGTACATGGGCATGTTTGGATTATTATTTCGATGACTAACAAAAGGATTGGGTGTTATTATATCTTGTCGTGTTCGATGTTTTCTTTTCCGACCTCAGTGGCAGGTCGAAGAATTCGAGCACACGGTATCATGTACAATCAAGAAAATAAGGTCGAGTACATTTGATATTTTTTATCTCTTTCGACGTAATTATACATTTGAAGA